TGATGCTTGTTGTCCTATTCGGCGAAGTGTCCTAACATTAAATGCTCCTATATGAAATTGGTGGCGTAGCTTTAGGAGACTATCGGTGGTGGTTTTTTGGCTTCCGTCGTTTTTAGTGGACACAGAGTGAAGAGGGAGTGAGGAGCCATCAAGTAGAGGAGTTGCATCAGTGGGAGGAAGGCAAGGTTATAGAGATGAAGATGAAGACAAAGATAAGTGAGGATTAGAGAGGTTTTGTGTGCATTTTGGATTGTGAGGGCGTTTGTTACTTCCCAGCTGCCCACACCGTGGAAGTTGGTTGCGTGACCGCAGAGCCCAGGGGACAACTGCTTGAGGCCGGTCACACGCGGCCTGTTTTTGTTTGTTCTCTTTTGTTTGGTGTGCCTCAGTAGCATACTTATCACTCCTGCCCTGTGACACGGCAGCAGGAAGCGCGGTTTATCAGTAGTATATAAAGGAGCGTTCATCGGCATAAGAACATCAAATAGCAGGGAGATACATGGAGATTTCAGAGAAGGCAAATGATGCAGTGTTGTCGAGACACATGGGAGATGACGTAAAAGAAACACAAAGATCTGTGCAAAAGGGTGCGTTGAAGATTAGGTGTACATAATTTGGCGATATAGTGATACGAATTTCCAAATAAACACTCCCTTACTAAATCTCTCATCTTCTACCCTTTCAGTATGGTCTGTCTGTCTGTCTGTTTTCGACATATAACTTTGCACCAATGTGCACCAGAGGTGTGAGACAAAGGAATAGTAATGACGGAGAACAATTTAGTTTGATTGGAAATCATAAGTCACAAGGAATAGTTGCATCTGTGCTGTCATTGAGAACGATTTTGAGCCATATCACCAATTGTTTCCAACCATTGGTTTTTACCATCCTGACGACCCCAACCAGGAAGTCTACATCTTCCTACGTGACTGGCTTGAACTAACTTGTAGATTTCATTGACTTGTGCCATGTTTCGGCTTGACTGCCGCTAACTCTTTTCCAGCCTGACTTTATGTCAGCTAAGATCGCTCATCGAGGAAGGCGATGACTAGGCATCCATAAAACACGTTCTAACCATCTCAGTCGATGTAGCTTCACAGCCTCGTCGATTGATTTCCCCTCCCACCTACCTAGCACCCGACCGAAGCCTAACCTCAATAATGCTCACCTTATTATACCACTTAACACGAGAGGTAGAGCGCAGGCACCTATGATCAAACACAGCTAGTCTTTTCATGTCTTCCACTCTCAATGGTCAGGTCTCACAGCCATAAAGGAGGACGGAGTTGACTGCTGAGCAGGAAACTCACCCTTTAGTCGATAGCCGGATATCCCGTCTATGCCAGAGACGGCGTAAACTAACATATGCGAAACTAGCCTTCTGTATCCGTGCTGAGATTTCGTGAGAGATCAACCGGTTGGGGCTGATGGTACTTCCCAAATAAGTGAAGCGGTCAACGTGCTCTACTACTTCACTTCCTATTTCTAAACTAAGAGGCAGTGTAGTCCAGTCCTGTAGCCACATCATCTTACATTTGGCGGGAGCGAATCACATGCCAAACATTCGTAGATTGCAGCTCAAGGTGTTCAGAAGACTCTGCTGGGTTTTGTCAGCGTCCTCACCTAGAAGGACTATATCGTCTGCATATTCTAAGTCAACAAGATTATTCCCTCCCTGGTAACAAGTCAATCCCTGAGTGTCTGAAGTGAGTTGGGGTTAAGTCCATTAGTACATCTGTGATGAAGTTGAATGGAAATGGGATACTGGGCTGGCATCCCTGACGGACACCACTAGTCTCACCACTTCAGGTGACTTGGTAGGTTATGTTTTCTAAACTTTTTGTAGAACAGTTTAGTTTCACTCTTCAATTGATGTCATATCATGTATATATATATATATATATATATATATATATAGAAATCATTGACATCCCGCTACTGAATATAATACCTACCTACAGTATACCTGTGTACTGCTATTATTAGAAGTCTAGATTAAGGAAAGACAGTAGTTTTTGTTTTCTGATGACTTCTTTCATCTTTCAAACTGTGAAAACCTTTGGAAATATCCATTAAAATAGAGAAGCTTTGTATAGTATAATCTCTCTAAATTTCATACTACTATTATTAGAAGTAATATATATCCAAAAATAGAACTTTGGCACTGTGATAAAGGTGTATAATTTACATTATGGAGGAAATTTCACTTTGATAAAGTCTCACGGCATTATACGGTAATATTAACTACTGATGACGAACACGTTTTGAGGACAATTTAATGCTCATAATTATATCAAGGTACTCACTCATACAACTTTATCACTTCGTTTATATATATATATATATATATACGTAAAAAAATTGATTGCACATATGATTAAAATCAATAAAAGTCAGTGTAAGGTTCAATAAACACGCGTGAAACAGAAAATAAATTACATTCAGAAATATTATTATTATTATCGATAAAATATATAATAGAATGAGAAATAAAGGCGACTGTTGTTGTTGTGCAATTGCTGAGCTTTTTCCTAAATTACTTATCCTTCTCGGGATCAATCATCCTCACCTTAGCTAAATTCTTACGTTCTGACAACCTGACTACCCTCGATCTACTAGTTTGACCTATGTAGTTGACCTCAGTCATTGTCATTGCAGGGGATTTTGTAAATTATATTATTTTGTCTAATTGGGTCGACTGACAGTGTCCTTTAATCTGCAAAGCTTGTTGCTGGGTGAATTTGTTGGTTTAAATATCACTCTTATTCCTCTCTTATTAAGAATCCTACGTAGTGTTTCACATGTCCCCTTCGTATATGCCTTATATTCTTTCTTATTTATATTATTATTATTAGTTTCACCATTACTTTTATTTTGCTTTTGACCGTTTTTGGTCTTCCTCATGAGTTTTATCGGATATTTATTCAACATCAACGATTCTTCTATCTGTTTCATTTCATCATTTAGGTCTTTTGTTTTTTATTGCTAGATTTGTTAGACACTTATCTAAGCCTGCCTTTACAAATAATGGATCAGATGAATTTCCGTCTAAATATCTATTAGAATGGGTCGGCTATTTTTTATAAACACTGGTGTGCAGTTTACCCTCTTCTGTTGGTTTTATTTTACAATTTTAACGTAGCTAATTTTCCTTGTTTATGTTTTGCTTCAAATGTGAATTTTATTCCCTTTACTGTTGAGTTTATGTGTGCTCGAAACGTCATCAGTAAATATTACTGTATAACACTGAGACTTTATCAAAACAAAATTTGCATAATGGGAGTAATATATAAGTTTCTTGAAGTAATTTGTATAACATGCTTACAGTCGGCAGTGATCTTTTGGTCACTTCATTTATTTGGGAAGTTACATCACCTCTAACTGACTGATTACTGACTAAATCTCAGTACGGATACAAAAGGCTTGTGTGGCAACTTGCCACATTACGTCATCTCTAGTGGAAACGTGATATATGGCTATCGATCGAAGGAGGCGTGTACTGCACTTTTGTTCCCCCTGTCCTCATTTATGACTATTGAAAGTGGCAGATGTGAAAAGGCTAGCTGTCTTTAATCATAGGTTTCTGCTTTCTATCTCCCGTGTTAAGTATTATAATAGAATAAGTCAAGAACAACAGTGGTTTGTACAGAATAATATGATACTATCGTTGACTTCGTTGGCTGCTTATCAGCTGCGAAATCCTTTAAAATTATCAATACACAGAGGAGGTGGATTCGCCTCAAGTTTGCCGAAACAATCACTATCAAACGCTTGAAATCAGATTTATGTGTTCAGAAAGAAGAAGCAGTTATTAGTCTATCCTTGCTCTGGTAACTGGATGTATTTATTCTCTCCACTTGGTTACGTAATCTTTGGCTTTAACCTCACCTCCGTTTTATAATTTGTAATTTTGTTTGTCTCTTGTTTCTATGATTTAAGTTGAAATCAGTAAATTGTTACCTAATGTGTAAGTCACTCATCATCTGACGCATATCTCGTCTTTATTAAGTAACTCCTTTACCATTGTGTGCATACATTTATTTTGTTTAAACTTGAACTACCTGTGTAAAAACTATGTAGGCGCAATTTTTTGAGCATTGTTCACTAATCGGGGGACTTTCTGTCAACTAACATCATTAAAAATTTTCAAGTTTGTTAAGACGTTTCTGTACATATAAACTTAATAATATATTTAGGCTGTAAGCAGCAGCTGATGAGAAGCCAACGAAGTGAACAATAATGGTACCATATTATTCTGCACAAACCGTTGTTCTTGATTTATTCCAATAGAATAGGTAATATTAAGGTAAAGTGTCGAGTGTGGGATGAGGACAGAGAGAGTCAGTCGATGGGGTTATGAAGCTACATCGGTCGAGATGGCTAAGACACGTTTCACTTGCCGAGCCACAACTTTCATCGGCGGACAATCTTAACGGATATCAGATTAGATTGGAAAAGAGTTAGGGGTGGTTAAACCAAAAGTCAGCATCATCAATCTATGAAATCGTTGATGGTTGGTTTGAGTCAGCCATGTAGGGAGGTGTGGACTGTGCCTGGTTGCTATCGTTGAGACGCTAAGATCCAATGACTTGGGACTGTTGATGGCATGGCTCTGAATCGTTCTCAATGATACAGATGCATTTAATTTTTGTGATCTCCCATCGCCCATTAAATCCTCGCATTACTATTCTTTATCCCGTGCATTTCTGCTCAGTAGAGTTCCTTTGATCTCTTCTTTCTCCGTTTTCTCTATCTTTGTATGCTATATTGAGTGTGGAAACATGAATTGCTTCACCTTCGTACCAACTTCTGTCTTGAAACTCTGTCAATCACTCAAGTCGGTTACATAATTTATTTCCGTAGTGTCCTGACTTATTTCATGTAAATTTGTACTCTATATTTCGTAGTCTAACATGGATACACATTTTTGTATATTAATTTGATTCTTTCCCATGTGATCTCCAGTTATTGTTTTTTTGTCTTCTCAATTTTTCCGCTAGATTGCAAAACAGTAATGCTTCCACTGAAATATTCAAAGCAGAAGAATGCAAATTCGAAGCGTCTAGATGTTGGAAGTCATTAGTCAGTTCTATATCGTCTACCTCACGTGGTAATTCTATCGAAGCATCGAATCGTTCTCAGATGCTACTCACGTTACAAGCACTTCATGAATATCCTGTACAAATGACTAAATCTGTAAGGCATTATCTAGCCGCTGCGCATATTTTTGAATCCAAAAATGAATCGAACAGAGCGATTGGTATGCTGACTGAAGCAGCTGATCAAATTCAGCATTGTGTACGCCGAATGCATCGTGTTGAAGCCAAACTGACAAAGCGTCGAAATCATCGTAATGAATCAGGAAATTCACCTGATAATAATAACAGTAATAATAATATGAATGAATTAGCATTAAAAGTTAAACGAGACGCTAGTTGGATGTACTTATGGTATTATGTTTTAATGAGAATTAAAGCTGTCGTCGGATTCCATATATATCGTTTAAGATTACAATCTATTGAATCATTACATGAAGAGGTAAGTTTGCTTAGTTTGAATTTTGTGTACTAGAGTGTTTTGCTTAACGCCCCCTTCCTCCGGTTTCAATGAACACCTTTCTAACCGTATATATGTTTATTAACCGGTAGTCAGTGTGACAATGGTTTACAAAAGAAAGTTGAAATTTATGGGCCGTTGAATTGAGTCTCAATGAGTGAATAGTTTGCGAACTTGCTATACAACCGGAAGGTTCTGGGTTTGAACCCTAGCGATGAGTGCTTACTGATGATGAGTCCCAAAGTAGGCTGAAGAAACAGCGGACCAGTACTTTCTTGTTTTCCAGTGGTTCTTTAATCGATGTCAGCTCGTGACCAGACTTGAAACAAATCCAGTCCCTACAAATGAACTCTTGAAAGTAAGAGGTACACACTGCATTTAAATATCACTTCATTGTTGGGGTATAAACTTGATCAATACGGCAAACCGATCATATTAGACTTTCATAACCTCATGAAATCATGGGTAACAGTTGACAAGGCATATTAACCATTTGTGTGACCAAAATAATACTAATAATGATATAAGCTTTATTCTAGAAGTTACATTTAAACAGTGCTGACTGACTGATTGGTTTCAACATAGAACTTTGCACAGATGTGCACCAGTTCCAGTCGCCACACTCCATGTAGCACACAGACCGAGAGAAGAGGATAAAGAGAGGCAAACAGATTAGTAATATGGAAGAACAATAATTTTATTGAATATGACAAATCACAAGGAGTGGATGCATCTGTGCCATCATTGAGAATGAGGATTTTGAGCCATGTCACTAATTGTCTCCAGCCTTCATTGGTTCTTACTATCCCGGGGACCTCAACCAGTCACGCAGTTTACAACTCCCTACGTGGCTTAAACTAACTGTTGTGGATTTGATTGACTGATGAAACCATGTTTTGGTTTGACAACCGCTAGCTTTATCTTTTCCAACCTGATCGATCCTATGTCAGCTAACATTGTCTGTTGTCAAGGAAGGCGATGGCTAGGCATGGGTAACACATGTAATACCCATCTTAATCAATGCGACTTCACAACGTCATTGATTGACTTGCCCTCCTTACTTAACAATCGATGTCTAACCTCGATATTACTCCTCAACATGGGATATGGAACACAGACACCCATGATCAAAGAGAGCTAGACAGGCTTTTCATATCTTCCGCTTTCAATGGGCTAGGTCTCACAGTCATAAAGGATGACGGGGTGAACCGCTGTAGAATTCTCGGAGAAATTTCTTGCGAAATATTTACTCTCCTACGACATTTCTCCCTCATTTTCTTCTTGAAGTGCACATTTATCGATTAGAAGTCAGTTAAAATATGCGTTAGTTCACGTTCAGATCCAACGACATAACGCAAGTGTAGAAATTGGGCACTGTGCTCGAATGTAATTCCGTATTAGATAAGTTTATTTTAATAATCACCCTGTGATGCAGTATTGACAACTAGATGACGTCTCTACCATACATCATTGCCAATCATAATCAAATCAATTCAGTCACACAGCTTCACAATTTGTCTTACATATATTTTCATTCTGTCGGAATGGCGCAATACCCAGACCGGATATATGGAAAGCAGCGACAGACACCAAGGAGGAGAGAGGGGGAGAGAGAAAAGGACATCTTGAAAGCGTGTGATGAAATTGATATAATTATGAGTGGCAATAATTGATGCTCGAAACCTTGTCTTCCAGTTATTGATACTGCATCACATGTCAGGTGATCCATAACGGAAAACTGAGCGAGATGTTTGAAGCGAATACAGGAGTAAGACAAACTGGCTGCTTATTATCACCGATCATATTCTTAATTGTGATGGACTGAATTATGCGTCAGACTTTAGGGAGTGAGAAGAGAGGAATACTTCAGGCCAATAAGAAGGCTCTAGAAGATCTGGATTTCGCAGATGATATATGTCTACTGTCACACAAACTCGAAGACTTAGAGGCAGGCAAAAACAAACAAACTAGCTGAAGAGGCTAGCAGCGAAAACAGAACTGCAGGTGAACATAGAGAAGACGGAGGTGTTGAAGATGACCAACGAACCGCAGCAACCAGCACTAATCACCATCAACGGGAGAGATTTAACAGAGGTGACTCCCTTCGCTTATCTATCTAGGAAGCACGGTTCCAACCACAGCCAGAAAAACGGCTGATGTGAAAGCCAGCCAGAATCGGGAAGGCAAGATATGTCTTCATCAACCTGAAACCAGTTTGGAAGTCTTCTGCTTCACTCAGCCAGCGTAAAGAACAAGATTGGGATTTTCAACACAATTGTGAAGTCGGTCAGTTCTTCTATACGGTTCAGAAACTTGCACTGTGTGTCACTCTTGAACAGGATTTCTAACAAGTTACAGACTTTTGTCAACAACTGCCCACTTCGCTAGCCGGTTCCACACTGAAGATCAGATGGTCGGTTAGAAAGAATTAGCAACAAGAAACTCTGACTGGCTGGAAACAAACCAATCAAAAGCTGATTGCTCAACAAATATGTAGGAGAAAATTTGAGATGGGTTGGCCGTACATTGAGGAGGCCGTTGAATGACATCGTGCTCAATGCAGGCCATCGCTCGAGTAGAATCTCAATGGGAAACGACGAGTGGGGGGTGACATGGAGGAAATCATGCGAAGAGAAGATGAGAGATTATGGGCAATCTTGGACCCAGCTGGAGGGCAGCAGAAAATAAAACATAGTAGAGATGTGTTGTTGAAGTCCTATGTTCCACTCGAAACGCAAGGAAATAATATCATGGAATCCAAGGGCATAATTGAAACGTTGAAATAACAAGAAATGGAGAAAAAGTTGATGCCTTATTAATTTGGGTGGAAATTAAGGTGGATCAACTGTTTAAGCAAACTGCTAGAAAACACTTACTGAGATGCCTTGTAGATGCACATGTAAATTATTTATAGAAATCGGGGCCAGTGAGGTCCATCCAGTCACACGTGTGAGGATCGATGTCTCACCGACGACATTGGTTGGGGTCGCTCTGTGTCGTGAATTGGTAGAAGTTAGAATTCATGGACTGGCCATTAATGAATCGGGTCCCAGTGGCTGAATGGTGTACGAACCAGCTTATCTTGTAACCGGAGGTTCCTGGGTTCGAACCCTGGCAGTGGGGTGGGTGTGTACTGCCGATGATTCCCAAACTAGGCGGATGAAACAGCTGTCCAGTACTCCCTGGCTGGTTTTCAATGGTTCTCTAACTAATATCAATATGTGACCAACTCGTAAAAACAAAACTAATCCTCACAAATCAGCTATTGAAAATTATTTACACGTTAATATCTAGGATTGATAATTAAATTGATGAGAAAATTCTAATACAATAGCGTGCAAATATAGCCTCACTACTCTCCAGTTTTCATATTCAATCAGTAAAGCTACTGAATTCAAAAAATAATTTATTTTCTGCAGTTCTCTTCGTTAAGAAGATTAATTTAATAAATTGTATTCATGTTCAACAGTCCAGTTGTGTTTACTAGGGGAATATACAGAAATACAGGTGTAGTAGTCGTCAACTAACACAATTGTTGAATCACTCTTTTAATATCTTCCACCCATTTTCAGTCTAATTAAATATCTCTCGTGTTCAAACACGTACATACACACACACACACCTACCTGAAATTCGGTCATATTTTTGTAACATGAATAGATTACAGTAATAACACACAAGCGTACATACAAAATCATTAGAATTTAGCTTAGAAATCTTTTGCCTTTTGTTTAAATTAATATTCAAAAGTAATAGATTTAATTTTAAAGTACATGGTAACATTTACTTTAAAGCAGCCATTGTTTATTCACAGTTTATCTTGTAGAATGTTAAATAATCACACAGTTCCCAACAATTTGTCAATTGAATTATTTTTCGAGTTAGGCCACGGATTGATATCAGTTAGGGAACCATTGAAAACCAGCACTGGAGTAGTGGTCAGCTGTTTCGCCCCAGTTTGGGACTCTTTAGCATTATGCACCCACCGTTAGGGTTCGAATTGAAGACTTTCCAGTTACTAGTCAAGCTCGTTGTTGACCATTCAGCCACTGGGACCTTATAATTCAATGTTACAAGTTAGAATTCATGGGCTGGTCATTGAATCGGATCCCAGTGACTAGATGGTATACGAGCTTGCCTTGTAACCGGGATGTGATGGGTTCCAGACCCAGTGGTCGCGTGTCCCAAACTAGGAACAAAACATCTTTCGAGTTCTCCCTGGATTTCAGTGGTTCTCTAGCCTATACCAGTGCGTGATCTAACTCGAAAAAAACAAGTCGACTGTTTACAAATCAACTCTTGAAAATTTAATTATATCTATATTCTATAGTACCATTTCATCATAAGGATATTTTTAGGGGTTGAATAATAACTATGTGTAGTAGGTAATTCCCATTTCTATGTACATGTGAATTTTTAAATCAAAGTTTTTAGATCGTTACCTTTTAGAATTATTGTGTCTCATCTCTGTGAAGTTAAGTAAATAGGCGGTTGTCGAAAAATTTGTAGTATAAAGGTAAAATTTCATTATGGTATTAAAATTTAAGACCATATAAGAAGTTAAAAAGTGGTTTGGGGAAAACACCGATTTATGTGATTTTACGGAATAAATTTTGCTCCAAAAACATCATCCAGTTGTTAGTAACACATCACTTATTTGTATCAGACAAAAGAATGTAATATCGTATTTGATAGTGAACACTATTCATATCATAGAATTAAAATATTTTTATTATGTTATATGGGAACTGTTATGATAAAGTGGTGTGGGGGTGTTGCATAAATATGTGTATCCACGGGCAGCTACTCAGATTTTCTTTCATTGTGTTCGTATGAAGACTTTTTGTAAACTGTTTTGATCGATGGCAATTCGGATCTTGAAATATTCCTTCAACAGACCTCCATCATCATTAGTTCACGTATGATAAACTCAAAAATATCTACAACTGACACTTTTACTTGTTGTCACTTATGATTGAAAC